TTTGCAACTAAGAAAAGTGGTGGTATCTGTATGGACCCCAACCCCTGCAAGGTCTTTGTGACATTGAGGAATATGCCGAACACTACAAGCTGTGGGTAGCAGTACTTCCGTCAGAGATGCAAGCACTGCTGCCTACGGCACTTTAGGATTTCTGCCACCAACGAGGAAAGGTACATTTTAAATGACAAGAATTTCTCCATGGTGTTTCTGCAAACATAGATGAATGAAAAGCCTGTAGTGAATAATGTTTTAAAACTGTCCACAAACAGCTTACAATTTTCAGGAGTATTTTCAGTAAAACCTTTTGAAAGAAAAAATTCTATTAATAGTTACTGATTGAGTAGTTGCTATAGACAGCCTAGCAGCAGCTCACTTCAATTTGGGGAACTTAAATACATCAGCTAGTTCCGGCTGTTCATTCTTTTTGACACTTACTGAGCGTAATACGTGGGTTTTGTGGCTTATGTTTCCAATATTCTACCAATTGCAGATAGAGAGGGGAAGGGGAGTGGGAAGGGCGCAGGCGATTACATTTTATAGGCTCAGTTACAGATTGCAATTGCATGGTGCTTGCTGGTTATTGCCTTGCAGAGCTTTCCAAAAAGGAAGCGTGTCACGCATTTCTTCAGAACAGGAGGGGAACACAGAGGGGAGAACTTTGCCAGTCTTTGACAAAAACTAGGCAGCACATGCATGACTTTCACAGTGACAACGCTCTAAGTTTTCAACCGAAGGTAAAATACTTCTATTTTCACCCTTCCTCCTCGTAGACTTTGTTCCCTAATGTGACAAACAGGTAATGTGAGTAAGCATGACAAGCATGTCATTGATGATGCTGTTCAAATGTGCAGGTCACCAGCCATGCCCTCAGGCACAGCCATGCCATCACCGTGGCCGTGGCCTCTGAAACCACTCGAGAGTTGTGCCGCCGGATCCTGGCTCGCCTTGAAACAAAATGAACTTTCTAGCCCTTCTGGTAGTGAAGATAACCTTGAAAATGTGAAGAGAGTGTAATCTGATGCCTCAGTAAGACTGCAAGGAGCTTGAAACAAAGACAGAGAGATGTGAACTGCCCCAGCCATCTCTCTCTGGGCCCCATGGACTCAGCATTTCTGTGGTCGTGGAGTCTGGCATTTTTCCAAGATTCCACAGAATCTCGCATGTTTGCTGCAAAATTCATTATTTTGCTGCAGCCAGGTGCTGGATGTTTTTTGGTTTGGGTTTTTATTTTCTCCCTCCCCCTTTCTTGCAGAAACCAGCTACTTGCTCTGTGTGTTTCCACTAAGGGAGGTAGGAGGTGAATTTTCGGTGCAAAGTGCCGCCCTCCGGTATGTGGCATGGGAGAAGGGTCCAGGGAGCAGCAGGGAGGAGAAAGAAGTTGGAAATACACAGCCAGGCTGCCCAGAGTGCTGACTGAAAGCTGAGGTTTGGGGGCTCTGGGAGGAATCAGAGAAGACTGACTGCAAGAGTGGACCAAGAGCACCTCCTTTTTTGGCTCATTGGGTACACACCATTTGGATCTACCTTGACTGCTGAGGGCCTCAGAGTCTTTGCTCTGTTTTCCAGATGGGCAAACTCCATCATCAAAAATACTCCTTGCTGAAAATTCTTCTTGGTGTGCAATTTTACAATGAGAATTTTCAATTATGAGCCTGGACAGGTTAGGAATGAAAATTATTTCATGTTATATAATAACTTAATATTGGTACCAGAGAGAGAGTTATGGAAGAAAAGCCCTCCAAAATACCCCCAGAGGGTATAGTAATTGCTAAAAACATGCCAGTATTTACTTGTGAAAATTTTCTTGTGCTGAGTTTTGCAAATAAATAAACCCCACACATTAAAAAAAGAAAAGGCAAATCAAATGAAATAAAATACTTGCTGACCTCTACACTGCCTTTTTTGAGTTTTTTTTGGAAGTCATCATCAGGGTGCCTCTAACCATCTGGGTTATCATGTTGAATCTTATCACTGTTTGTCATGTTTTTAGGGCTTCTAGAGGGTTTCTGGGGCAATAGATTCATGTCAATGCCAAGTTTGGAACTGGTAGACTTAGCCTACCACAAATACAAGCAATGATAATTTTGCATAATTTTTTTTAAAATCAATTTGGTATAAGAAGTACTATTACACAGCCCCAGGCTCCTTACAATTAGAATTTCTATAACACCCAAAATGATATTTTCATCTCAAAAATAATTAAAACAAGAGGTTTTTTTTTTATTTCTCAAGTATATTTGAGCAGTGGGACCTGTTGCAAATGACTGACAGACAGAAAAGCCCCTTCAGGATGATAAAGAAAATACTAATTAAAAAAACTCAACCATTTGTTTTAGCTTGATGAAACATGAATGAACCATCTTTGATAGGTGCATATATCATTAGCAAAAAAGCTTCAAAGTCTTTTTTAGACTTGGAAAGAAAGCAACAGAACTTCAATGAAATTTTCAGACAGGATGAAATACTGACATCCTCTGTCCAGCCAGCCTCAGGTTTGTGTGTTGCTTCTTTCTCAAGCACCTAGTAAAGGAAAGGCAGGGGCAGACATAATGTTCAAGTCTGCAAGCTCAAGTTTGAAATTAATTTCCTACAGAATGCAAATCAAATAGGTGACAATTAGTACAATTAGCACCATTTCTTGATTAGGAAATGGCTAAAATACTCTCTCAGCTGTGTGAGGGTAACAGAAGTGCAGAAGTGAATTTACTGGGCTTATTATGGAATCTTCTGCACACATCAACACTGACAGGCTGTATTCCCAAGTGCAACACCATCCTCTTCCTCAAAAGAGAAATCTTGGCCAAAGACAATGGCAAAGTACTTCCTCATATACTCTCTCATACTGTTGTCTGATAACTTTTTTTACATTATCCAGCTTCATTTGTCAGTTGTTGAATAAAGCTGCTCCCTTATCCACATGTACCTGAAATTGCTTCCACCACATAGTTTGCATTGGCCAGTTGCAAAATTAAATTACCTTTCAATTGGTATGTGTAGGGAAGTTTTATTCTTTTCCTATGGACTATCACCAGGTTTTCAAAGCCACTACATGTGTTTGGGATCTTAAATCCCAAAAAGGTTTCTGGTTTCTAATTACAGAGTGCTAATCTATCCCTCACACTCTCTTACTTTCTATGCACACACACGGAGCAAAATAAACAAAAACCAATGTTCATGCCGTCATCTTTATTTTCACTGAGACTATTTTGCCTTCTGATGACTGCTTCTAGGAAATCTCCCTGCTGGTCAAGTGGCTGATGTAAATGCAGCAGACTGTCCAGTTATGAATGACTTCAAGTGAAACCTAATTGAAGGATCTGATTCCAGGGTTTAATACCCCAATTTTAAACCTCTCCAATGACACTGCAATCAGAAGAGTCACACCCTGCCCTTTATCATGTACCTTTGGAAACCTCAGTCCTCATTGACAGAAGCCTGAGGGCTGGTCAGTGCAGTGGGTCTATTCAGCAGTTACTGGCTTAGATTTTGATAATCCTGATAGCATCAACAACTACCACCCACTTGGGTAATGTGAAGGGAAACTCTGAGCAAATGAAGCATTTTACAGGCTCCCTGGACCAAGTGGTGAAAAGAAGGAATGGAATGAATAACCCCAACAGGAGTGCTGGTGGTGCCAAACCATGAACAAATATTTCCCTTCACACTCCTGTTATGTTAAGCGACAGTTACATTTGTCATTACACACAGCCCCAGCACACAATCACCCAGCCCAAACCCTCCACAGCACACGGGGCCCAGGCTATGCCAGGCACACAGAGGGGAAGTATTGCAGTGGAAGCGACAGAAAATCCTGACAGCATCAGGGAATGGCTTTTCATGCATGAAGGAAAGCCTGATTCCAAATAGAACGAGGAGCTTGGGTGGTGCTGAAAGCTCTGGCATGGCAACTGCAAACAGGACCATCCCTGTTTAGTGCCTGTTGGTAACCATGGCCACCCTTTCCCTGAAAGCGAACATGGTGGTAGCAGTGATGGATAAACATCCACATAGAGACAAGACTGGAACAAATGAACATTGGAAAATAATCAAAGCCATATTGCTTCAGACAGCAAAAATTGCACTACATATGAAGCATAACAAAAAACACACAACACAACAGGCTTTTTATCAGGGACTTGGTTTTTTTCTACTCTGTTGCTACATGAAATGGAAGCATCAGCAAAACTGGATACAGAAACATAAAATACAAAGGGAAGAGTGAGAGAGAATAGACTACTGTCAAATGTAGAAAACAAACACATCAGGAAAAAATGCAGGAAATAAGTCTAATTAAATTTACTAAATAGCTTTTGGACTGATTTTACAACTGGTAAAAACAAGGTAATCTCAATACATACACTTTCTGTTAAACAATTCAGAATAAAAACATATATGTAGCATTTTGAACTTCACTGAGTGCCAAGAATGATGTCACAAATTAAACTAACAAATCCAAAACACACAACCAATCATTTGACCATACATTAAACATTCTTAATTGTGCTTGATAGTTTGCAAAATTTCTTATTATTGTGACTCTACAAACAGGCATTTACAACAACAACAATGCTACTACATTTTTTTGCCACTGTTCTTAAGACTTTGCAGCTAGGAGTTGCACTCGCTTTTCTCAGAAGCAGTATTTGCATATATTCACAAAGGCAAAGAGAAATAACTTCAAATAATGGGAAGAAAACTCTCCAACAGATAAAAATGTTAACACATAAACACAGCAGGCCAAATATTTCTTAGAGAAAGCAACAACCATAATTTTGTAATATGAATCGTTGAAGACAAATATTTTTAAAGCCATACTTAATTTTCTGTAGCTTTAGCACAAGCCTCCATCTCTCAATTAATTTCATCATTCCCTGCTTCTTCCAATCACTTAAACTGCATGTAGCTCTCTTAAGACTTTCCTTTGCTTGGTTGCCACAAAAATAATTGCCACTTTAAAAGCCGCAACTTTTTTTCTCAGGACTGACAAGTTGTTTACTTACAGACTTCCCATTTATTCCCTCGGGGTCTTCCATTGATGATTTCTCCTTCCAAATTATATTTGGGCTATTAGTTACAGGGAGCTTCAGACAGTGCTAGCACACACACACCTGTGGAAAAGACAGCACCACATCGGCGGATTAATTTGTTGGCATGAAACTAGGAGCCGATCTTCACTTCTGCAACTTTCCAGCAACAAACAAGTATTCACAAGTTGGGAGCAGTTGCCTTTGAAGAATTGAATCAGTCATGAAAATAAACACATAACTGAGCTGTTTATTGCGAATCCACGCAAGCCAAAAGCAGGCAGCGAGAGCCCCGTTGTGCTCACTGTCTGCAGAAGAATAAAAGGCAGCCAGGAACGCTCCTACCGCCACTATTTCTGTGCCAGCAACACATCTCTTTTTCTCCTTTTTCCTTTTTTTTTTTCCCTTTAGGAAGCTCAGCCTTCCCCTGATATCTATCAATGTCAATCGTACTTTAATGCTAAGAGGAAATAATAACAAAGCAATATGATTGTAGACTGAGCCAGGATAAAAAAGAAAATCCACAAAATTTTCAAACGTTGCCCTCAAGCTAAGGATATTTTTATACTAAATCTCTTCAAGTTTACATTAGGTCACAGTCTTAGGCCTCATAAATTATAAATATGGGATGCTTTGTGTTCTCTCACCTTCAGAAAGGATGCTCTTTGATGTTTAAAGTAACAGTAAAGTATTCAGATGAAATACCAAAAGCTTACCCTCCCAAACAGATATCAACCCAAAATATGGTTTCCTTCTTCCCTCCTTTAGAATAAAATGCTGTAAACATCTTAAAATTCAGAATTTTTCATTGGTGTAATTTAAACAAACCCAGCTAAATCCTCATTAGAAAAACTGTCGCTTTTTAAAAAATACATGGGGAAAAGGCTGTCCATAAAGAATAAAAATGAAAACGTGATTTATAGACACACACACATACACATTATATATACAAAGAAATGTGAATAACACTTTGCTCTTCTGTGACAGTTGAAGATATGGTCTGAAGACATTCTGTTTGTCCTAAAACCACTCTGCATAAGAAATACATATATTTTAGGAGCAGGAACCAAAGTCTCATTCTTTATCTTTCTACCTGGATAAGACTCTAGCAAGAAAGTAAAAAAATCCCTACAAATCCAGTTTTTTGGACACTACTCCCTGCACATATTTGGCTACTTGTATAAAATCTAAGCATTAAGAAAGTGTTAACAGGTCCACTCCACACCCTAAGGAAGATGCTAATATGAACCATGCTTCTGCAATGCATCCACTCCCTTCTTTCTGGTTTACAATTGAGAGATCAAATCCAGTCCTGCTCCTGCTGAGAACAATGGCCAATCTGCAATATTTCTGTGAAATCAGGGTTTGGTGATTATATTTGTTCTGACACCAGATTATAGGTTAGAAAACTATTTATGGCTTTTAAAAGTGACAATTAAAGTTAGGGAGGGAAAGGAAAAGATTTTTTTCTAACTTAAAAAAAAAAAAGAGAGAAGAAAACAGCCCTCTAACAATGCCCCACTCCTAAGCAATGACTGACATCTGTTTCAAAAACTCTTTTATTGCAAAACTCAATAAATGGAAAAACCGCACAAACTGAAAGTCTGCCACTTCAGCGAGGGAATAAAATGGAACCTTTTCTAATGGAAAAATATTCAAAAGTCAATTGATGTAATGCTGGTATGGATGACCTGATGGATTTTCAGATCAGCAGTGCTCTCTTTACTAATGGAAAGAAAACTTTACAAAGACTGGTAATTTTCTCTTGAAGCCCAGAAGGAAAAAGCATATATGCTTTAGTGTATATTAAAGTTCAGCCGTAATTAGGCGACCTAACTTGCAGGAGCTGCTGTGGCAAATATTTTCTCTCTCTGGGAAAGATTCCTGTAACACACCAGTGTTAAAAGAGCCTACTCTTGTAATTTCTGCTCTGACATATGCTGCACTTCATGTCACTGCAAAAGAGGTTTACAAAAAGCTCTTATATATGTGGGCACCCACCCACACTGCTAGGGGCAAAGAGTTGTCTTGGTCAGAAGCCACCAGAGACTTCTGGCAGCAGAATCAAGTCACAGTAACATGAGGGCTTATATATTAATACAGAACAGCTGATCCACAATGAAGTAATAATAATTAAGTCATTTTAATTTTGAACAATTCAACTTTTAAACAAGAGCAACTTAGTTATCCTGATTCTAATTGCTATGTTAGGTTATTTTTAACCTTTAGTGAAGCTTTACAAGAACTAATTAAATTCCCTTGACATGTTAATGTATCAAAAAATATATCCAAATTACACCGTATCTATTACAGAGAAGCTGTTATATGCAAAATGTGCCATCAAATATGAGTAGGACAAAAACTCAATTTATTGAAAAAAACAAGATTTAAATTGAAGAGAAGTCACAAAAGCACACATCCTGTTTTATTTTTCTCTACTTCTTTGGAAGTCCTTTGCTTTGTGAAATATTATTACCATTAAATACACAACAGTATTAAGAGTCCCAGCAGCTAAAGAAGTACCCAGCAGTCCTGTTTCCAAGCAGCTATTGCCATTTAAAAGGGCGTTAAAAGAACCCACAGAGGAGCACAGAAAGTGGTTTATGGGGGATTTCTGAACCGTTCGCCAGCGCTGTGCAATTTTCCCCACACACGCGGATCCCAGCCCGCGCCTTTGCTGCCAGGCACAGGGTGGCTGCCAGCCCCTCCCAGCCACTGCAGAGGTGGCAGGAGCTTTATTTTAACGAGCTCCTTCCCATGGCAGGGCTGTCCCTCTGTCCCCATCCCAGCACCCACCTGAAAACCTGGCAAAAGCCAGTGGTGGATCACCCAGGAAGCAGATGTTAAACACAGTCACTGATAAACACCCTCTTACGGCCGGGAGGCGCCAATGGAGGCTGCCCACTTGTAGAGAGAATACCAAACACAAGGGTGACCAAAAAGTAACTAGCCATGGCTGACCCCTGGCACCTAGACACCTACATCTAAGGACAAGGAACCTGATTCTTTATGCTTGCCAAGCTGTTCCTCATAAAAACTGTGCATTTCCCATGCAAGACCTCCAACACCACTAATCCACACCTTGGAGCTGTCCCAGGGCTGCTGTAACACACCTTCAGCTGCCCTGAGCCCCTGGCAAAACTCACAGTGATCAGAAACTGCACCAACACATTACCTTGGGCTGCCTTAGCCCTTCCATCACCAAGGAGAAGGAATTAAACTTTTCATCCTGTTCCTGTGCCACCAGCAAAATCAATCCTGTCTTACAACCTCCCAGCTGATTATGCCATTGCAAGGACTCCAAGATAAGGCCATTTTTAGTGTCATCAGTGGTTTCTGCTTTGCCCTTACTTATTTTCTTACACTTTCTCAGGAACTGATGGGATTTTTCCACTAACACTTTGAAAAAGTTGTATCTCCCCAAACTATACACATTTGTTAGAAGAAAAAGAGCCCAAAAAGACACACGTGCCTTACCTTTTAGTAAAGAAAATAACAAAAGAAGTTCTGAGGCTGGATGAAATGGCCTTTTTTTACCCTGTAGATGATAGCCTGTGGAATTTTACAGTTAATGTGAGGAAACTCAATGGTTTTGATTTTAGGTGCTATATTTGGTAAATTTTCTTTCAGGCACTTTCTAAAGACTCACAACATTCACTCCATTCCCAGGTAGGTCTCTCGTCCCCCACCCCCACTTCCTTTTAAGGTGTTACATTTGGCAGATAACCTGAGTAGCATTTAGAAAACAATTATTTCCAAATGCTGGGAAAGAAACTTGCCAAGTGTAACAGCTGAAAACTGAAAAGAAAGGGAAAAAAAAAAAAAGAGGAAGGAAATAAAATGGAAGAGGAAAGGTATTTTTAAAAAATGAAATTTGGTAGGGACCTTTCAGCAGCTTTATAAACAATTAACTCCAGGGCTGTGACTGAAGACCACCTCTGATTCAGCCTGGAATGCCTGCAGATGCAATACAGCATCTTGCCCTCCAGTGAGCCTCAGGGACTCCAGCAAAACAGATGGGCGCCCAGATGTGTGGGACCTACCGTGCACATCTGCATGAAGGCATCCCACACCAACTGCAGAGCTGACACTGAGCAGAGAGAGAGTCTGGGGGTGTGCAAACCCCCAGTCTGCTCTGTGGCCAGGCAGCAGTCCGTGTGGGATGTGTGGGGTGTGGGTAACACACTGAACAACACCACAGAGGCTAAGTCACTATTTCTGCACCCCAATAAACATCCATGTTCATCACAACAGAGCTTTTTTTTCCACTGCCATTGAGCAGAAATACACCGAGTGTCAGGACTTGTGGCTGAAGTAAACCTGTGGGAGAGGAGGCTGAAAGTTTTCAGTTTTATTGGTAAGGTTTCCTTCATATAAAATAGAACAAGCACTCTGGTGTCCTGGACAGGCATGTTTAAAACCCATAGCTCTTACACTCACTGTCAAGTTTAGGTCTAGCACCAAATAAATCTTGTTCTTTATAAGGAAATAATATAAATTTAGTATCAAGAATTTTGTTTTGCAATCTAGGTAATCACTTTTAACTTTACTTTAAAGATCAAAACTATGCTATTTCCCTAACATTTTTAACTTCACTGAGAAGTTAAAGCTCTGGCAAGGAAACATGAGGTCTCATCTGCCTACACAGCAGTCTCACTGGGTGTTGGACCAGAATAACCAGAGACTCAAGAACGAAAGCAAGCAAGAAAGAAGGTAGAAATGAAGCACTTTGAACACAAAAAATACATCACACGCAAATGATATCAGGAACATTCTGGGAAATACATCTGTGCTACTTTCTGAATCCTCATTACATTTATAAAATTGCTATCACATTGTAAGCCTAAATATGTCTTGAAGGAACTACTCAACAATAGAGTTTGTGCCCCATTTCTCCCATATACCATTAAATCATGGAAAAGGTGTTGAGAACACAAGGGCCATGATAATGGCTAAGACCAACAATCCTCCTGGTGCTGTCTCCAGCAGCAGGAGG